CGAATATTAGCCATAAGAGCCCTAGTTTTTCATTAATGAGGTCCCTAATAAAAAATATTTGTTGATTGATGAAGGAATGAAGAATAGATAAGTCAATGAATCCCCTTCCTCTTGAGTAGTTATTTTTAAAAGAGGCAGAATAATATTAATAAGGGTTCATTCATGTCCCCACAAAAAATCAAGAGCTTCAAGTTCAAGTTTATAATTTTAGCCTCAAAATGAAATCTACATGAGACTCCTACCTCCATAGTGATCACCCAAATCCCACAGCCCTTTAATTCTCTCACACACAGATGCTCTTTGGACTTTTTCTTGTTCACACTGTTAATTCTCAATTCATTCTCTATCTGTGCTTCCGTATGACATTTAAGGTATCTTGCCACTTTCAGTGTCTATCACAGCAGCCCATGAACCCCTGGAAAACAGGATCATGTCCCTTTAACTCGTGTGGTAAAGCACTTTGTGCTGAGCCATATGCACACTGTACTGCATAAAAGCCTTTTAATGACAAATTAGATTTTTATTCGGTTCATTACGCCTGGGTTTTCAGGCAATGTTTCAGATTTCATGGTTTTGTTTGTAATGAGTCATGGCCCCCTTGACAAACAAGAGAGTAATTAAACTAACCAGGTTATCAATAGAAGCTTGTGATGGATCTCCTGTTGCATATGGTTATTTCATCTTCAATAACAGTTGGATATAATAAAAGAATATGGTTTCTTAGGGAGCGAGAGATGAAAGCCTGTGAGAACAAGGGTGAAAATACAATCTTACCTAAACCTCTAACAAGCAAAACAGTGCCATAATAATTGACCAATAAGTAGATTTTTATTTATAGATGTCTTTTGTATATTTTATTGCCTTTTATGGGGGGAACATGAATCTTTGCTTAATAAAAAAAGTTAAAATTTATTAAATGATTTCTTATATTGTATGAGAGAGTGTGTTTGTATTTGTGTGTGTATATATGTATTTAGTATGTATTTACATGTATATTACATATATACATATATGTGAATATGTATATGTGTATTACCTCATAACATTTTCTTATTCAAACATTTTTGGTAAACATTTTTCACCAAGCTATTAGCAGGCACTTTAATATAACTATTTCTTTTCAAGTTTTTTTCCAGAACTATAAATTGAACCTTTACTAGTAAGAATAAAAGTACCACAGAGAAATAGAGGTGCTATAATTTCAAAGTGAAGTATCATGCTTAACAGAAAATGATGAATTTGCTAGGATATTTTTAAGAGGAAAGGCAATGTTCTATTGTAAGAGTGTTTACAGTTTTCATATTCACTGCATATTGAAAAATCATTAGACTCTGTACTTTTTTATTGCTTTTTAAAGAAACCTAAAATATCTCCAAAGTGCACACTTACTCAGGTCGTTTGTCTGAATGAATTAGTATTTGCATCTTCAATGTTCCCATTGTATTGAATTCTTTCCCATAGTGTTACTTAAAATATAGACTATGTTAAAAAGATTCGTAGAAAAGATAATATTTATGAAAAAAATATGCATACAAAACACTTAGAAGATAACATAGGAGAAAATCTAGATGACCTTGGGATTGGTGAAGACTTTTTTAGTTACAACACCCAAAGGCATGATCCATGGAAGAAATGATTGATGAGCTGGACTTCATTAAAAATAGAAATTTTGGCTCTGTGAAACACCCTATCAAGAGAATGAAAAGACAAGCTACAGAATGGGAGAACATATCTGCAAAAGACAATTCTGATAAAGAACTGTTATCCAAAATATACCAAGAACTCTTAAAACTCAAAATAAAAATATAAACAATTAAAAGATGAGCCAAAGACCTTAACAGACACCTCACCAACGAAGATATACAGATGGTGAATAAACATATGAAAAGATGCTTCACATCATATGTCATTAGTGAAACGCAAATTGAAACAATGAGATATCACTACACACCTATTAGAAGGACCAGAATCTGGAATACTGACACCTCCAAATGCTGCTGAGGATCTAGAGCAACAGGAACTCTCATACATTGCTGGTGGGAATGCAAAATGGTGCAACCACTTTGGAAGAGAGTTTTGTGATTTCTTGCAAGACTAAACATACTCTTAATATTTGACCCAGCAATTGTACTCCTTGTTATTTATCCAAAGGAGGTGAAAACTTACGTCCTCATAAAAATCTCCACATAGATGTTTATAGTAGCCTTTTTTTCTTTTTTGAGGAAGATTAGCCCTGAGCTAACATCTGCTGCCAATCCTTGTCTTTTTGCTGAGGAAGACTGGCCCTGAGCTAACATCTGTGCCCATCTTCCTCTACTTTGTATGTGGGATGCCTGCCACAGCGTGGCGTGACAAGTGGTGCGTAGGTCTGCACCCGGGATCCAAACAGGCAAACCCTGGGCCGCTGAAGTGGGACATGCAAACTTAACCACTGAGCCACCAGGCCAGCCCCTATAGCAACTTTATTTATAATTGCCATATTTGGAAGTGACCAAGAAGTTCTTCAGTAGGTGAATGGATAAGCAAACTGTGGTAAGCCCAGACAATGGAATATTATTCTGTGCTAAAAAGAAATGGGCTATCAAGCCATGAAAAGACATGGAGGAAACTTAAATGAATATACTAATTGAAAGAAGCCAATCTGAAAAGGCTACATACTGTATAATTCCAACTATATGACATTCTGGAAGAGGGAAAACTATAGAGACAATAAAAAGATCAGTGGTTGCCAGGGATGGAGGTATGGTAGAGATGAGTAGGCAGAGCATGGAGAATTTTTAGGGCAGTAAAAATAATTTATGTGATACTTTGATGGATATATGTCTTTACACTTTTGTTCAGACCCACAGAATATACAACACCAAGAGTGAACGCTAACATAACCTATGGATTTTAGGTGATAATGATGTGTCAATGTAGGTTCATCAATTGTAACAAACGTACCCCTCTGGTAGGGGATGTTGATAATTGAGAGGCTCTGCATGTGTTGGGGCAATGGGTATATAGGAAATCTCTGTCCCTTTACTCAATTTTGTGTAAACTTAAAACTGATCTAAAAGAGAGTCTATCAAAAAAGATGTCACATACATACAACTCCTAACATTTCCCTCCAAAGCTCACCCACTTACAGCCTTCCCCGTCTCAGTAGTGGCTTCCAGTTAAGCCACGTGAAGTCACCCTGGACTCCTCTCTTTTTTTTACAGCTGTCAATAAATCCTCTTGGCTCCAACATCACAGCAGACCCCAAAGCCCATCACTCTCCACCACCTGCAGTGCTACCATCTTAGTCTGAGCTGCCAACATCACTTGCCTAGCTTACTGCAGCAGCTTTCATCCCTGCCTCACTGTGGTCTTTTCTCAACACAGCAGCCAGAGTGATACCTTTAAGACAAAAGTCAGATTATATCCCTCCTCTCTAGGTAGTGGGTCACCATTTCACTCAGAGTAAAAGTCAAATCCTTAAAATGGTCCTCAGGGTCCTGTCTGATCTTCCATCCTTTGGCTCCACGTATTAGTCAGGGTTCTCCGGAGAAACAACCAATCATATGCATATGTGCATATATGGCTATGCCTATGCATAACACACAGACACACACATATATACATATATATATGTAAAGAGATTATCTTGTGAGGAATGGGCTCACATGATTACTCAGGCTGAGAAGTCCCACAGATATGCTGTCTGCAAGCTGCAGGCTGGAGACTCAGGAAAGCCGGTGGTGTAGTTCATTCCGAGTCTGAAGGTCTGAGAACAAGGGAAGCAAATGGTGCAAATCTCAGTCTGAGGGCAGCAGTCAGGCAGAGAAGCGGTGAAGCCTCCCCTTTTGTTCTATCCAGGCCAATGGATTGTACGATGCCCACCACATTGCAGAGGGCAGTATGCTTTCCTGAGTCCACTGATTCAAACGCTTGTTTCATACAGACCCACCCTCACAGCCACACTCAGAAATTACTGCTATAAGTTACTGCTTATAGTTTGTCTCCCCATCTAGAAATAAGTTTCATCATGTCAGGGAGTTGAACTGCGTTGTGCCTTGAGAAATGCCGGGCGTGTATTGATGGCTTAATAACTATTCTGTGAATAACGCAATGGCTGTGCTACAAAGGAGCTTTTTAAGATCGTTGTGCCAGGCACTGTGCCTTGATCTCTGAGTATGCAAAGATGAATCCGATATTTACCCTGCCTTTGGGCAGCTTATAAGGGAGCCTGGCACACCCACAAATAATTATAATACACCATAGAAAGTGTATGGGATGAGAGATTTAGATAAACTGCTCAGAGAAGGGAAAGCTATTTCCCGTCAGAACAACAGGGAAGAGTATGGAGATGGTGACGCCTACACTGGGCCTTGAATCTGTGGAAATGGGAAGAATAGCATTCTAGGCAGGAGAAACCACGTAAAATAAATCACTGAAGTGCTAAAGCATAGGGAGTAGGCAGGGAAAAACACAGAATACTGAAAGAGCCCAGTCTTTGAGTCAACATGCCTGACATCAAATCTAAGTTCTTCAGCTAAGTAGCTGTGTGACCTTAGACAATTTTTTTAACCTCTCTGAGCTTCGGTTTTCACATTTGGGATAATACCATCTAGCTTAGTGTATGACTGTGAGGAACTCATGAACATAAAGCCCCTAGTCTGGTGACTGGCTCTGGTGATCACTCAGTACCCGAGAGCTATTATGGAAGTGTATTTTCACTGGAGTACAGATGAAGTGTTCCCCTCAACAATGCCATTTTTCCAAGAGGAAGCAAGGCCAAAATGTATTACATTTACTCTGCACTCCCTGGGAACATTCATCTATTGTCCAACTTGAAAAATGAAGCCAAAAATGACTAGTCTTGTATTAGAAGCATAAACGACTAAAAATGTGATGCATTGGCCCATCAGGCATAAGATTGCTTTGAATATAGAAGGAATAAAAATATATGTGTGTGATATTTCTGCCGAAGATTATTTTTACTTACCCACCAGTTTTTTTGTCTGTTTCCTTTTCAGTTGCTCCTACGATTCAGGAAATAAAATCTGGCACCGTGGCCCCTGGACGCAGCGGATTGATAAGATGCGAAGGCGCAGGTGTGCCGCCTCCGGCCTTCGAATGGTACAAAGGAGAGAAGAAGTAAGGACTTTGTGATTATTACTGTGTTTCAAGCACTTTGAGCTAATGTGTTTGTGTTTCAGATACTTACTTTAAGCAATATACTTTCTTTAACTGGCTTGAACGATTCTCAGCAGCCTCCTCGTGAGCAGGCATATTGAAGAGGCCCACGTGGGCTGGATGAGTAGCTAATAGGATCCAGCAGAAACGTCCGCTTTGGTTTCTATGCTCTCCGAAATGCCCGCGAAGCCCCCGTCACTGATGCCTTTCATTTCTGCCCCTGCCTTCTGAACCAGCACACTATCGCTCGTGCTGGCGACCATGTTTACTTGGGAAGTAAACCAGCTCTTAAAGGGCTTGGGCACGGCTTCCACAAGAGCACTCCAAAAGCAATGGGAGCTGCCGTCTCTGCCTGGCTTCCTTGATAAGCCTGCATCCTGTCACCTGCCTTACTCTCCCACAAGACATTTTAACATTTTATTTTATAGGACACTGTGTTTTAGATATTCTGTCACTAAAGGGGCTGTAGAGGAGATAAAATACATGGTTAAAGGACTAAGCAAGGGGATTTTAGGGCCACTCCATCTTTAGCTCTGTGTAATTGTCCCCTGGAGAAGCCCCAGAAAGCCTTGGCAAGAGCTGTTGAACAAGAGACGACAGGACTTGACTGCTGTCTCCTTACTTCAACCAGTAAGCTCACTCAGACCTCTTCAGCAGCTCCTGTCAAGTCATCAAAGGAGGGTGGCCCCAGTGGTTAACTGGAAGGGGTAATGCAGAGGGAGCATATTATCTACCCTGTATATATTTTGCTTCAAAACTAGGAAGAGATGTATTCAAGAAAATGCTACATTGAACTATGTAAAATGGCAACATTTTTTTGGTCAAAAAAGCTAAATATTGACAATTCCATATTGTTCCACATATATGAGTGGGGTTTCCTTGCTTGTGCCGTGGCTCGTTACTGAATGTCCGAACAGAAAACTGGTAAAATCACACAAGAACTTAGGTATTGCCACAACGGAGGAGAATGGATGTGACATAAGCAAGTACTTTGTTTCTTAAACTGTAACCAGAAGAGGATTTGTGGAAGATATTCTCCTTTTTCAACATCAGCCTTTCCATAAAGGATATTCCCGTAACTACCTCATTCGTTCTGAATAACTGACTGTGGTTTTTACCTAAAATCTTTGCAGCTATTTCAGATGCAACGTCTTCCATAATTTGGGGTGTTCGAGTTTTAATTGTTTTTACAAATTAATTCATGTTTTTACTAATTCTAAATCTACTTCCTTGTGGCTTCATGGAAACCCCTACATTTTTATATGCTTAGAATTAAAGAAACTGGTCTGTGGTCACCTTCACCCCACCCTGCAAGATTGTATATCAGCCAATGAAACTTTTTGCAGATTCTGATAATCCAGGTTGAGAAGTTTCAGTTTGTGATTATCCATATGGACAAAAATCTAGAAGAGCGATTTTCACTCCTTCAAAGTTATGAAACCTTTTGTGCAAGTGCAATCTTACCTGGAAGCCCAATTAGAAATAACTGTGAAAGCAGCACTTCTCTGGTAGATGTGGGGTGAATGAAGCCTCAATTGCATCTGCTTAGAAGCCTGTTTTCCATTAGGACGTCCTTGCTGGGCCGCCCAAATCCTTGGTTCTCCACAAAGCACAGTTTAAATAATGACGTAATCTATTTTATCTATCTTTAAAGTCACTTTTGAATCTGTATCACACCTTTCTTAAAAGTTAACAAACAGAATTATTCCTAGTAATACAAGTGAGAGCTCCTTTGCTAAAGTTCATTTTCTTTCCAATATTTTGTGATGTCCTGAATTTTTTTTTTACTCTCTCTCTGTTTCCCTTTCCTAAATTCAACAACCATTGCCAGACAGGCTACCATAATCTGCAGTCTGCTTTCTTGGCCTCTAGCAAATATAGCAAAGGGCCAAGTGGTGTCCATAAGTCAGAGCTTCAGTGATTTTTTTTTCCTCCTGGCGAGATGGACTCTAGCTTTTATTAGACTTCAAAGGAGTTTAGAACTACTGCCAAAGAAGATGGATTGATTTTCTCGAATCAATGCCCCTCCCAATACACTCACACACCTAGAGAAAATCTAGGAGCTGTGAAAATCAAATGCACTTGCCAAAGACAAACATATTTTCATGTCGGAGTGAAGCATACCTTTGTCATTTGTTAGGGCTATATTTGAGGAAATATCCAAATTCTCAAATACCACTAGAATATGTCAATTCCTCTCAAAATTATAGCAAAGCAAATTTGAGTATCTACATTGAGTAGGAGAAAGCAGGATTCTGGCTGCTGAATGGTTGTCGGGGTGCTCACTCAGTGGACCTGCCATGCTCCATCACGGCCCAGGCCATTCAGATATTTATCTCATCCAAATGAAAGACTAGTCATGTAACGAGCACCTGCTACTTGACAGGCAGTGTTCTAAGCTGTTAACAAATACTAACCCATTTTATTTTCCCAGCAAACCTGTAAGAGAGATACTATTATTATTCTCACCTTTTGCTTGGGGGGAACCAAAGCACAGAGTGTTTTTAAGTAATTTTCAGAAGTTCGTACAGTTAGTGGCAGAGCTGGGATTTGAACCCAGGAATATTTGCAAATCTTCATGCGGAGTCCATGGATTTAACCCCTAAACTATGGCACCTAGTGTAGGTCATGGCACTCAGAATCTATCAAAAAGAATTTGAAACGTCGACGTTAAATGCCAAGGGTAAAGGCATTGCAGGTCATTTATGAATTAGCATAATAAAAGACTGTGAATACAAACAATTGTAATTTCCCAAGTTATTTAGTCAAAGACACAGAAATAATGCAGTTAAGGGAGACACACAGAGAAGAAACAGATACAGCACATTCCTAAGTTTTCTTGACCTCAAGGCTGCTAAGGGAGCATGAAGCTGTCAGAGACCCTGTCAGAGTAGAACAGAGTTTTTACAAGACCTGGAGAAGTTTTACTTCCTAGAGATCTTTTATACTTGAGGCTTACAAAAATATTCAGAAATAACTTACTTTCTCCACTTCTACTTAAGGGAATGTTTGTAAAAACTCATCTCTCTTAAATCAAGATCTTCAAAGCCAGATCTTCATTCAAATAAACTAATAAACACAAACAAATTAAAAAAGAGAGAGTGTCTGAACATCCTAGTATTATCTGCCTACAGTTCTTCTGTATCTTATAAAATCTATTTCTGTGTACTGGGAATTATCTGCTTGAAAATCTTCTAAAAAAGAAACCCTGCAAAATTAAGCACAATTTAAAGAAAAGAAAGGAAGAAATACTGAGGACAAATCACTTTCCAGGTCCTTTATATTCTTCTATCTCATTTATTCTTCACACCTCTGTGAGGAACAATTTATTATCCTCAATTTACTGATGACAAAAGTGAGACACAAGAGACTTGACCTGTTCAAGAGCACTCGACTTAAAAGATGCCATCAAGACACATTTTAGATTTGTCAACCTTTCAGCCCGGGTTCTTTCCCTTGCATACCTGCCAGTATTAGTTATCTATTGCTAAGTAACAAATTAACCCAAAACGTAGAAGCTTAAACCAGCAAACATTTATAATCTCAAACAGTGTCTGGGGTCAGGAATCCAGGAGCAGCTTAACTGGATGGTTCCGGCACAGAGTCTCTCATCAGGTTGAAGTGAAGATGTCACCTGGTGCTAGTCATCTGAAGGCTTAACTAGGGCTGGACGATCTGCTTCCAAGACATCTCCCTCATATGCCCACCGCCTTAGTGCCAGTTATTGGCAGAAGGCCTCAGTTAACCACCATATGGATCTCTTTATCGGGCTACTTGACTATCTTCATGACGTGGCAGTTGACATCCCCCAGAACGAGTGATCCAAGAGAAAGCAAGGTAGCAGCCATTTATGACCTAGCCTCAGAAGGCATATTCTGTCCTTTCTGCAACATCTCATTGGTTACACAGGGTGACCCTGTTCAATGTGAGAGGGACAACACAGGGACATGAATATCAAGAGGTGAGAATCAGCAGATGCCATTTTCAAAGATGGCTCCCGCTCTGTCTCCCCCAAGGATGAGGTAATTATTTTTTAGACTAGAAATACTAGCTATTTGACCTTTAGTTTATTGCACTGTTTAGATAAGCATCATAAGAATGCCTAAGGATACATGCTTATTATTAAAATATTATTCCTTGGTATAAAATGATCATTTTTTTTGACGATATAGTCTCTTTCAGCACACCTGGCAGGGTCAGTCCTGCTAGACTTAATTTTACTCCATATACATTTAAATATGGGGAAAATCAGAGTTCAAAATTCAATTATATAGAGAGCCAAAAATTTAAACTTTTTTCTTGGTAATGGAGAAGATTGATAAGAGCAAATCTACTCCTTACATGCAGTGAAAGGCCACTTTCAGAACAGACAAATTACTATTAAGCAAGTTGTGTATTTGATGACATCAAATTAATATGGCTTGAGAACAGTACATTCACTTAGGATGAAGACTAAAAACAAATTAAGTTGTAATGGACTAACATTTAAATAGGTATTGCAAAATTATGGGATTTTTATCACTTTGTGAATGTGGCATTACCATCTTGTCTTAGATCAGAATTTTGCTATTTGCTTGGTTGGTTGAATTCCCTCCTCTTATTTTACATTTTCTTAAATCCAAGCCTGCAGCCTAGAAAGACATGTCCTCTGATCTCTCATGATAACTTTAACTGCTCTAGGCTTTTTAAATAGTATTTTATTCACTTTGTCTATTTTTAGGCAAATGGCCGACAGCAACAATACTTTTTGAAATTCTTTAATTGCAACGGAATTTCTTTTTTAATCCTCTATCATAATTTAAGATAGGAATTCAAAAGTTACAAATGAGATAAATACAAAAAACCTCCATGAATGAAAAACAAATATATTGTAAAACATTAAAAATTATCAATCTGTCAGTTAAAATATGTCTGTGTACCTAAAAAAATTGAATTTTTTATATTTGACAATGAGAACCTAT